TAGGTGGAATCGGTCATCACAAAAGTAAAAGGCTGTACAAAAAATGTGCAAGTAGTCCAAACTTCATGTGCTTGGCAAAGTGATTCAACGTCGTGTTTAACGATAACTTTCCAAAGTTTTGCAAATGGAATAAAGGTTTGTTACAGAGACGCTGCTTCCGAAATTTATTCAGAATTTATTTACTTATATTGAAGGCTTTGAAGTCTGTGTTTCTCTGTATTTTTCTGAATGAAAACTATCGCTTGAAATTGCTTATGGAAAACAAATTCATTTATTGTGTTATGCATGCATACATTGAGTTTAAACTCAAAATTTTTGATAAAAAGAAATCGTTTCCCTGCTTTTTTGACAACCCAAATTGATCAGTCAAGCCCAGCTTACTTCATCCTCCACAGACTGTGAAAGCACCAAAAAAGAGGTTAATTTTAATCTCAAGCGTAACCTGAGTCAGCATAAAATTGTTTCCATGGAAAAAAAAGTAAAGCTTTATATGACGACCAACTTCTGGTCCTTTTTTCATATTCTTGTTATTGATATCTCAGCCCATGAAAGACAAAACCGTTTATTACATTTGTTATCGCTAGAGTTCCGAGTTCTCTAAGCTGCCATAGATCGGGAACCGTGGTTTACCGGTACAATACAACATAGGTTTAAGAACTCTATTGACCAATGAGAGTGTGCATAGTATGTCAGTTATTTTATAAAATGTTATAGACCTGGAGCATTCACTTGGACTAGGCATTTATTTAGGGTTCAATGACTGGTTGAGAAATGACAGTATACAGAACATAATTATACCACTCTACTGCAGATTCCAGTGTGTCATTTCCTGCTTCCAAGGCCAACTGACAGTCTTCAAATTCAAACCCCATAGAGGCCAGGCCAAGCAACAGTTCATCGACATTCTGAAATCAACCAAAGAAAGCACTTATTTTCAAAACAAACTTAATATATGACTGATGTACGGTGGTAACAAGTCAAAATTCAATAAGAAAATTACATCAAGTGAGACACATTATGCAAATGTTGAATTATTTCTCCCTTCCGCAAAGGTTCGGATATTCATCATATAAAAATCCACTGCGCAAGGTTAATGCAGGGGCAAAGTTGAATGGGTCTATTT